AAATATGCTTTAAAAATAAAAATAAATATGGACTTCGGGCAGCTTTATTTTAAGAGAGAGAGAGATGGAAAATGGTGGCACTGTCATTAAGATGTGACTCATTACTTTCCAATAAAATGTTTATCAGGCTTTCAGTTTGAGGCACCATCTTTCTGATTATTATGTAATAATGACATAAAGTCATACAATGGTTACTGTACCTTGTTTCTGGATCTGGCCAATATTTTGGCCTATCATGATTGACAGCCTTAACTAACTTTCATGTTATACAGCTAATTTGACTTTGTCATTGTGTTACTTAACCAAACTTGGGGCCACTCACCTGGGCACAGCAAAGCCAATCTGCAGACACCAGGTTGTAGTGAAGGGAAATGCAGCATTTATTGTAAAGGCACCAGCACAAGGACAGGTAGCCTGTGCTCCCAAGTTCCCTGAAGGGTTTCAGCAAGATTTTTAAAGGCCAGGTGAGGGAGAGGGGTCACCTGTGTGATCAGCTTGTGCACAGATCTCTGCTTGGTTGGTAGTGAGGTAACAGGGCAGTGTCACGGGGTTTATATCAACCCTTGGACTCCAGGAGGCCTAGGGGCTTTGTGCACATGGTCATCATGTAGTTAACATCTTCCACTTGGTGGAGGCTTTTGCTTCTGTAAAACAAGTCAGGAAATATGCATCAGATACTATTATCTAGGTACTTCAGAGAGGAGATAAAGCAGAGACTATAGCACAAGGGTCTGCACTGAAGGCCCCAGAGGGACCTGCTCACTTACAACTGGAGCCCCAAATACAACAGGGAATCCGTGATGATTCACTTCAACCTTTTTCAGCTGGTAATTTTAGCCATTTAGCTGAAGACTCAAGTTGAATCAGCCTCTCACCTGGTCTACTTAGTCCTACAGAAATCAACCCTTAAAAAAGTGAATTTCATCATACAGTGAATTAGTCTATCATCACGGATAATATCTCATAGCTTAAACATGAAATATCATTTTTTTTACAAGGGAAGTTTAAGCTAAAAAAAACAGTTTTATAGCAGAAAACAAGTTAAGTGCTGTCTGGCAAGTGTGGTACTTTGTTATCATGTTAGCTGATCTCTCCTAGGCAGAACATCATTTTCAATTGTATTCAAACTGAGCCATTGTCAATTATATCACATCAACTAGCTGTAGCACCTGGGAAGTTAGTACTGAATCTTTACGCTTAAATAATTATGCTGAGCAATTTTAAGAACAGTGTGAATGACAGAGTTCATTGACAAAAGTCATTCATAGGCCAAATTACAAGGGAATGCAAACTCCTCATCGATATTTAGACAACTAAGCACCATCCAATTAGAAAAGATTTTATTTACATAAACGCCACTACTAAAATGATAAAAGCTAGTACAGAAAAGGATAATAAAAAGAAAAGGGAATGAACAAAGGAAGTATAAGAAAGTTAAATGAGAGAAAGTTAATGAGTCAAGTTAAGTGAGATAAAGTTAAATTAGGTAAAACCCTTCCTTTGGATAATGATCCAAATGCAGGACTATCCTCTATAGCATTGGTATGGGCATCTGTGTTTATTAAAGTGCCACACCACTAAAGGTGCTAATTCTCTTTTGTAAATCTCGAATGAAGTAGAGTGTATTGCAGGCTAACTGGTTGGTAATGAAGTATGTAATAAAATGAAAATAATGCAAGTAAATGCTGGATTACTGTAGGACAAATGGGACAAAAAAGAACAAAACTGTTACTAGTAAATGCCATGAAAGAGCAACTCATAAAGTATGATATAGAAAATGCTTTATAATTATGTAGTGTGGCTAATCAGAAATAATAAATTATTGTTTTAATGAAGCCAAATGAAAAAAGATTTGTTTCATCCATCAATATTAGCATTAATGTATCAACAAAGAAACTTATTCTAGGGAAGAATATGTTTCATGCAAGTTCATTTAGATGGAAAAATATTTTGCATAAATTAATGTAAAAAGTATATTTTTTAGTATTCTAAAGAAATAAAAATGTGGAGATTACTGATGTATTACTGAAATAAGGAGAGGAAATGATGTAACGTAATTATCATAATAAAATAGCATTATGTAGTAAGAACTCAACCGTTGAGTACTTTCGAACATTCTGTCAGTCCATCTCCATGCAAACCACATGAGTTTGCTACTAGTACTAAGACTGTTTTACATTTGAGGAAACTAAACTGTGGTGAGACTCGAATATAGCCACAGAGCTTCTAAGTGACCCAGACTTTTGGTCCCAAGTTCTTCTTAATCTCTACACACAATTTATTTGCATGTAACCTATTATCTTACCTATCTTTCCATAAAATTATTAACTTTGGTGACTACAGCATAAATTTTTCAGCTCAAATTTTTAACAAAACTAAGTATAATTTACATTTGCACATACACATACATGTGGCTATAAGTAACTTCGTATGAGTGATATTTAACTTAATCTGAATGAAAATTCCAAATTCTCATTATGTATTTAATATATAGTGAAGTAGTGATTATAGCCGTGGGTACTATATGGATACAGAGAATATTTTCAGCATTTTACGATCTTAGAATATAATTTCAGTTGCAAAATAGAAAAGCTATACCTTTTCTATTGACATGCTTTAATGCCTCATTAGGAAACCTGCCTACCAATGACAAGTTTTCAGGAATATTTAATGTATGTAATACAGTCTGTTTCAACCACCCTTACCAAGTATTTTACTTATCCTGCTACTTTGGCTTTTGGTAAATTGTGCTTATTTGGCTCTTCATTTAAAAGTAAGGTAGGGAAAGTGTGTCACGAGGAACAAAGAACATGATAAAACACTTCGACCAATCATGTTTTCTTTCTTTCTTACAAACACTTAAACCAAATCACAGGAACTTATGGGCACTTCTCCCCCCTTCACCTATTTACTCTTAAAGTAGGACACAGCGCTCCATTATATTCTAAAACTAATATCAAAATCTGAAAAACAGTCCAATCAGTTTATATTTTAGCATTTAAAAAATTTTTGTGAGGTGAATTCATACCTTACAATGCTGAGCAAACTTAGATGTCTCATGAGATCTCTGTTCTAGAACTGAAGTTCCTTACCGCAGCCTGTTCAGCTTCTTGACCCTATTTCCAGTCCACAGCCCTCACCTCCCAAACCCCTTCTTTTGTCTTGGGCCATTTAATTTTGCCCTTACTTTGTTGTCACTGAGCAATGCACATATTCAGCAGTCAGATGAACGCATCACCTGGAAAACAGCTGAGTCACAATTTATCATTACATAAACTCATCGTTTAGGGCTCTCAGTCTTCACACTACATGAATGATCTTAGTGTTCTCATAAAAGCCTGATCTGGGAGGGGTGGAAGGAGTTCTGCTTCTGAAACCAGTTAAGATTTTCTCCAGGTTGTGCCTCATTCAATTATTGACTAACGCAGTGTCTTCTGAGTACCTTTTTTGTGCAAAGGACTAAGTTAGCAACATGGGGATATAAACATAAATTGAAATAATTGTTTTCCCTCAAGGAGCTTATCATTGTGCACTGGAAGAAAATATACAAACAATTAGACATAAGACATTTGGAATGAATTTGAGGAAACAAGATCTGATTGTAGCAGGGGTATGCTGTTTCCAGTTGGATATCCCTCAAGAGATGATATTTATATTGACCTCTGAAGAAAAATGAAATATTGATGGGTGGTAAGAGGAGTACCGTGGGAAAAGAAAAATTATTAAAGGATAAAGAATAACATACAAAATGGCACAGAGGTGAGAAATATCCTTCCATGTGCATGGAGCAGCAAGTAATCCAATGTATATGTAATCCATAATGATTTGAGAGAGAGAAAACACGTGTCTGGAAAGATAACATGGCACAAGATCATGGAGGTCCTTGAACTATAAAACAAAAACTTTGGATCTCACCATATAAAGAATGGGCACCATTGACAGTCATTTAGCAGAGGACTGACATGGTAGCCTCTTGTCCCGTTTTTTAAAAATTTACACTTGCAGCTTTCTTTCTTTACGGCACCCCCACCACTGTAGCCCTTCTGACCCCTTACATTTTTATTTGGTAAAATCCGTACGTCAACTTGGTCCACCTCTTACGGAAAGCGGAAAGTTCTGTTAAACTTTGCAGGACTACCTTCTCTCAGGATAGGTTAACCACTCCTCCCTGTCTTCCTTCCTTGAGCTCAGACTACTTATCTTTTTTTATAATTCTTGTGTAAGAATCGTCTCTTTTCTTGTCTTTTCACTTGACTTGAATTCACAGAGACTTTATCATTGTTTTTTGTGTCTTCAGTGTCTGTCTAGCATGTTTCCTTCTAGGGGCTTAATAAGTTTTAGTGAATTGAATGCTCAGGACTATGTCTTGGTAAGAAAAATCTGTTATTGGTGAAGAAAGCACACTGAATAGACAACAGAATAAAATCAGGAATAAAAACTAGATGATCAGTGTGATGGGAGATCATGAGAGAAAAAAATAAGAAGGCGAAGAGATCAATGAAAAGAAGATGCCAGAGAGGGAAAGCTGATTAGATGGGACAGAGGCATGAAGACTGATTTGAAGATGACCCTGGATAACGTGTGGAAAGATTCTATGTTATCGCACATGGGGCTGATCTTGCTAAAGGAAGATAAGGGTTCTCTTTTTGACAAATTGTGGTTGGTATATCTGTTGGGGCGTCATGTTTGTAGATGTGTGGAAACCATAAGCGTTCCTCCTTAATCAGAAATGTGGGATACTGTTTCTTTTGTCTAAACTCCCCCCCAAATAATTGTCCCTAAGCAAATTTGAGCTGTAATATTGTAAGCGTTCATAACAGTGAAGAAAAAAAATCAAACTAGAGATAAATGTACATCTCATCCTATTCCCTAGAAAGAAGCAGTATCTAGTATTTCCCACTCATCTTAAGATTTGGTGTTCAAAAGTTCAAGTTCTGTTTAAATCTTACTCAGCTGATTCAAAATTAATTATACGTTATTTCACTCTTGCTTTTCTGCAGTATGCTGTCTGGCTGGTCCTCTGGGTTACGTGGAACGTGTTTGTTATCTGCTTCTATTTGGAGGCTGGGGACCTCTCAAAGGTAATTTGCCATCTGATTTGCCTGAGTCATCAGTTGTGGGTTAACAAGCCTCTTCCTAAGTAAGGCAGAGTCTCACCCTGCTCTGGTCACTTAGATGCACCTCGAATGAAGGTAAATTGAAAGGTGTCTTCCTCTACCTCTCTGCATTTCTCCCATCCAAGACATGTTCCAGTGTGTCATTAAAAAGTGTTTTTATTATGTTACACAAAACTAATGTGAAATATTGATTATTACAATGACCATGCTGTGTACTTTTAAGACATTGACGGATGAGAGATTTCTGAAGCAGAATAGGAATTTTTTCAGAGATAAAATCTTGAAGGTTTTTGAAATCACTTAGTTTGCTTATTACTCTGCTAAAAATTTTTCCTGATTGGACCCAAATAGTAGCATAATAATTCAAACAATTAATGGGTTTTATTTGAATAAAATATTACCAGAGGGATGTAATTTATTTACATAAATGATATAAAATAGTCTAGGAAAGACTTGAAATACTTTTTCATTTAGGTTTCTTTATTTTGTGCTGTCCTCATGTGAGTGTGTTTTTGTGTTTGAATGAGTGTGTTGCTTTTATATTTCTAACATCGGTGGCTTTCCTACTGAAATAATGCCGTTTGTGGAGTTCTAACACCAACATCCTTCTGTCGGAACGCCATTGACAGCATATAAATCAAATGAGATAATCCATTCAAAATAGTAATTAATCTTGTTTGAGACACTTGAGGGAGTTGTAGACTTGTACTACTTCATACTGACTTTCAAAGATACATATTGTAAAATGTTCTTTTACCTCTCTGTCCCTTAGAGCAGGAAGACCCTGTGAAGATGTTGACATTTTTAAAACCCAGAGATGATAATCTGCTTTAAAAGGCTAAAACAGCTAAAAAGTTGCCAGGAACTGCCTTTGCAGGACTATGTATTTTGTGGGGCAGGGGGTGGGGATAATGGTAATACACATTTATAATCTAGCATCCAGGAGTTTCAAAAATCACACTGAGCATTTTCAAGTATGTGTATTTATTATTCAACTGCAATACTGAATATAAATAATCTTAACTTTTTTTTTCTTTTCAATGGAAAATGATGAGGGATAAAATAAGACGTTAATGTTACAGTATGAGATAGACCCAACGTTTTTGGAACCTATAGTTTTATAATCAGATTTTGGACAAGTCCTCACTGTGGCCTCCTGCAAAATCTGCCCTGGTGGATGGCCTTTCTGCGATTCTTGCTGGGCATCGTGTTCCACGCTCTTAGCAGCAGGTAGTCCTTTCCTAAAGATGCCGTGAACAGTAAAAAGGAATTGTTCAAGCAGATCTAGGAAGGACACTTAATTTCCTACTTCAAACTCACATTCCCTCTATGCCAGGAAAGCAAACGTGCTTCCCGGGACTTGAATTCCTTTACCCAGTTTATACATCTCTGCTGTATAATCCACTTTGTTCAAAGAGATTCCTCACTAAAATGACTTATAATGACATTTTTGATTTTAAATAATCACCTCAATAATTGGAAGACAGGTATTCAGGCTTATTGACTGAGTAAAATGATCTAGCAGACCAGAAAGTTTGTTTAATATTAAAAAAAATGGAGAGAGATTTGAGCTAAGCTGGCTGCACAAATGTTCTGTGATTTTGCTTATTGTTCCATAGGATGACTGCAGGCACAGAATAAAGCTTGTGATCTCGTGACCTTGGACATGGGCATTGAAACCACAGTGAGGGCACATCCTAAAACATTAGGGTTCAAGACAGTTACAACCCAAATGAGTAAGAATTCTTCTGATGTACATAGGCAGGTAATGACTCTCCCGTGGCAATGAAGCAGTTAATAATAGTTCCTTTATTTTTCATCTTATAAACCAAGGCTAGGCTCTGCAGAGCACGTGAAATTTAATAATTTCCTTTTAACAAATAATCTAAAGGAAAACCATAAAGGGCAAAGTTATATTGTTATCTCTACCGGTTTTTCCTCCCTTTCCTACTCAGAGGGTTTGAGAAAGGTGTATTTATGCCATTTAATTCTTTAGCTTCTGCAACTGCCTCACATTCTTCAAGTAATACAGTGCCAGAAGGAAGCAGTGGTGATTGAAAAATGTACCGATATATGAAAGCTCAAAAATGGGAGTCCTGAAACTGCTGATAATACTTAGATTACAGAATATAAACTGCTTTTTTTTCCCTCACCTCACCAAAAAAATAAAATCATTTGACCATATGAATGGGTCAGTTTGTTTGAGGCTAAAAGAGAAATATGGGAAGTAGAATCAGGGAAGAAATTCTGTGGTTTTTATATAGGCGAAAGAAGTGTATTTATTTCCGTAAAACATTTTGTAAAGAGGTGATTCCTTCATAATACGTATTGGCAAGAAGTGATGAAAAGAGGTAAAACAGTAAGGCGAACTTTAGTCATCCCTTAGAGGTTAGAATTTTGTGCTGTCATTTTCCAGTGTCTTTCTGCTTTTACTGATAAACTGCCTGCCATGTACTTATAAGAGGGACGGGTGTTAGCATCATTAACCAACCTGGTATGTACCTTCAGGAATGAAAATGACTTAGTTACAATAATATGGTACACAGGACTGACCTGGCTGACCTTCAGTTCTCTTCGTACACATAACTGTATAGATAATACATTTTGTTCATCAAAAATTCTATGTGAATCCAGCATTACTATTAAATTATCAATTAATACATTTTAATTATTATACCCATGAGATTTAAGAAAAAGTAAAACAAATCAACTCGAGAAACTGCTTTTAAAAAATTTTATCTCAGTGATATCAAAAAAATTTTGGGATATCATAAATTAGTACATAATATGACAGCAACAAATAAACATATATATTGCATAATAATTATTTCCACATTATTTCCATTAATGGTTTAGATATTAGTGTTGTAACCAAATATCTTAAAACATCCTACAGTGTGTTACTTTCTGGGACGATATTTTAATAGATGTTCTGTTAATGAAACAGAGATGGCATAATTTATAACCCAAAGTGTTTGCTAATTTTGTAGGCAGCTGCCTTTGAGTATTGAAAGTGACCTGCTCTATTGGGTGAATAGTTTTGAGAATTCCTCATGTAAATAGTCATACTGTTCTGTGGTATTATTCTGGTTAGTCGTGATTCTCTTGCTCACAAATCAAATAGAGAGAAATAGGAACTAATTCCAGCTATCTACTTAGTTGAGTAATTTTGAGAATAGAAGAGATCTGCTATTTGTTCTGTAGTTAACGTCAAAGTACATTGTTAGAAGGAAAACATGTAGAACACGGCAACTCACCTATTAGGTACATCAGTTGGGAAAATGAAATTTATGAAATAGTTTTTGAATAGTTATACACAGGATAAAATGAGTGCTCTTGTGGTATCTGAAAAAAAACTGTATTCTGTTGAAATTGGTATTACAATTGTAAATTACTCATAGGCTGAGATTCTACCCTAACACTTTTTTTATATGACTCTTTTGAGATCTAGGTTTCTACTTTTGTAAGTCATGGGCACCGTTAATAAATGATGTACTGCCTATCTTTAGAAATAAGGCAGTTAACTTACAGATCATGAAGGAGTAACCAAGGGATTATTTTACACTTAAAACAACCCAATTTGTTGGTATTTAACCCTTTGATACTAGGGATGCAGGTATATATCTCTCAGGCTTCATTATATTGTCAGAAACTTATCTTGTTAAACATAGCCTAAAGCAATCAATTAAACCTAATGAATGCTTTTAATAGCAACGTCGGGAAAGCTGTCTTGTTTTAATAATTTTGATAGTTGCTTCTGAGATCTAGATATAAATTTTTATTTAAAAAAATTGGTATATAAAAAGGCCATGTAAGAATGTGGCCTATTTAAGCTTTGACTGCAGTCTTGCAAATGTAAGAGAAAGGAAGAGGAAAAAACCTGTCATGCAGTGTAGGAAATAGGAAACAAATCCTTAAAACCACATGCGAGTGCTGTGTGGAACAATGTACTATTGCAACAATCCCAGTTTTATTCCTTGTGTAAAAAATGAATTATTCATTTGAGAGGCATCTGCTGTTTGGATATTTTCTTCTCAATGAAATCAATGCTTGTATCAAAATTTGCTGTTATGATTTCATATGGAAAAAGGTGGTAGGGAGAGACATCTGTTTTAGTCATTTTTTTATTTGAATTGATGCTGTTCTTCAAAAAGTAAAAAATCTTTGCGATTACTAATGAAGAATACCTCTGATAATTGATTTAAAGCTAAAAGAGGATAATTAATTAGACTCATTTTTTTTAAATATTTTACTTTTCTTACTATAAAATGCAGGTAGTCTAAGAAAACTTCAATTAACTATCTCTAAATAAATTAGAAAAAATTTATTTTCCAATCATCAGTATTGATTTTTCTTCCGGATGTAGGGTAAGTGTCCTACATGTTATTAACAATTAAATACGATATAATTTTCCCCCCAAAATAGAAACGAACCAACCTATGATAATTTGGCCAAACTGTAACTGCCTCTATTCTCTTGTTTCTGTTAATAGTGCATTGACTTAAACTGCTCATTTTCTTCTTCAGGTCTCTTTTGTTTGCTTACTTTTTTCCACTTCCTTCTAAGATCCCTAAAATGAGGAATAGGGTCTTTGGACATTTCTATTTCTCTGTTTACGGTCTTTTACTTGAAAATGCAATTCACTGCCATAATTTAAACTATCATCTCTACACATGTGTCTACCAGATTTATATCTTCAGTCCTGACCTTGTTGCTAAGTTAAAATCACACACCTCCAACTTTCTGCTTGTGTCATGTCAATTCCATTGTCACCTTAAATTCAACATGTCCAAAAAGATTTATCATCATCCCCAAAGAATCCAACTGCCTTAATTCACTTCTTACTCAGAGAAGAAAAGAAAAAAAAATGCAAAATTCATTTCAAAAAATAAATAAAAGAAGAAACAATTTTTGTGTTGGAGAGGCTACAGAAATCTTTACAGATTGACCATGAGATGAAGCAA